GGGGGACCAAGCCTTTTTTGTCCTAGTTCTGATTAGGTGAAGGTGGGGTCAGTTTCAAATTACTGCATCATCGACTTGGTGGAACCAATAAAATATATGTTCATATACATGCACGTTTGTATGTGTATTTAACTTGGATTTTGCTCACTACCTCTTAACTATTATGGGTTCCACAAATTGTAGTCTACTGGTGCATATGTTACGAGCATTATAATGAACTTTGCTGCCCTTCTTGCCTTTCAGAAACAAAGAAATGATGATGGCATTGGGAGTAATTCCGGTGCTGCAGGAACTCGTTGCTAATTCCAATTTTGTTGGAGCGGCAACGGCACTTTACTTGAATCTTTCTTGCCTTGAAGAGGCCAAGCCTGTCATTGGCTCGACCGAGGCTGTCCCTTTCTTGATCCGTGTCCTCCGACATGAAAATGATCCTCAATGCAAGCTCGATGCGCTCCATGCCCTCTACAATCTTTCCAGTCACCCCACCAATATTCACCGCCTTCTGCCATGTGGCATTGTCGAAAGCCTCCAAGCTCTTATTACACATTCAACTGACAACACTTTCACTGAGAAAAGCATCGCAGTTCTTATAAACTTAGCATCGCGTAAAACTGCAAGAGATGAAATTATACTGGCTCCTGACCTTGTTAGTGGGCTCGCAAAGGTTTTGGATGTTGGTGAGCTTGTTGAACAAGAACAAGCTGCAGCATGTCTGCTGATATTATGCAATGGGAACGAGTCATGCAGTCAAATGGTTCTTCAAGAAGGAGTGATACCTTCATTGGTGTCAATATCGGTAAATGGAACCGCGAGAGGGAAACAAAAAGCTCAGAAGCTTCTCATGCTGTTCCGGGAACAGAGACAACGTGATCCATCACCAGCTCCTGCTCGGCAGCCTGAAAGTAGTGACACAGTCACGTCTGCTCGAGATTCAAAGCCACCGTGCAAGTCAGAGTCGAGAAGAAAAATTGGAAGGAGCTGGAGCTTTTGGTGGAAAACCAAGAGTTTTTCAGTATATCAGTGTTAAGAGTTGCTAGGGTTTTTCTCGTCAGTGATGTAAATTTCTATCATACAATATACCTTTGTAGTATTTTCTGCCCTTTAAATGGCATCGTTTCTTGTTAGTTTCTCATAGAAATGTATAGGCTCCTTAAAGTCAGATGGGTTTTGCCTCAGCCTGCATGCTATGAAGTGATGTACCTTTGTAATCAAGATGCGAGTAATACGTATATACCAATATGAAGGTCAACATAATTCATCGATGCACGTCAA